GGGGGGGGGGGGGGGGGGGCAGAAGCATATAGGCTGAAGACCGACTAGTATCGAACATGCCATTCGATATATTACTTTAGAGGGTATCTATCGATTCTGCCGAAGCTATCAGCTTTCGTTGCTAGGCGATATCTCGATGATATCCCACCCTCTGACCCTCCGCTGCCTTCGCTATTCTCTCTATTACCCACCCCACCGAGTCCACCCACCTTACGCCCTTCTTGCACAAATGCATCTCAAGAACCAGTCATCCCTTCCGTCTCCCTCAGCCAGGGGTACCAACCCTCCCTTTTGCACCCTCTGACCCGAGGCACTCCCTCTCTCTCTCTCTCTCTGTCTCTCTCTCTCTCTCTCTCCCTATAGGGCTATAAAGTCTTCTTGCCCAAGAAAACTTTTGGACTCTATTTACTATTAAATCGCCAATAGGAATCCACGAATCTGGACAATCCTTCTTGTAAGTCCTAGCCGATATTACCATCGTAAAGACAGCAGCGACAAGTTAGAAGATCTGTGGACCGGAAAAGAAGATCGAACTGAAGTACAGCAATTTCAAAGTTATGAGTAACCTCATAGTATTGGTACCCTGTCCTATTATAGATTTTATATCTGGATATATATATATATATATACTTTATATGATTGAGTTGTTCGATTTGCTGACTAACTCGGATCTGTATGTACGATATACATATACATATATATATATAACATATATACCTTGAACGAATACGTTTCTATAGTACAGTGTGTTAAATTGACGATATATATATATATATAACTGTAAGCAATAAGAATAGCTATATTTTAGTATTAAGAGCATACAATGTACTGCCGAAAGATCTCAAAAATATGACTATGAATATAAGTACCATTAAGATTAAGCTAAAAAATTGGATAAGATCCTGTAACTATCATACTGATATGACTACAAGTCACTAATCTAATGTTATATAGTGCAATAATTTAAAGATATATATTACAAGTGCTCTGAAACTGTATATTCAATTATACAGACTCATGAGCATACATATTATACACGCGATGAGTAATAAATATGCAACTGCGAAATAAATGGACGAAGTCCTTAAGTTAAGTTAGCTGTAAGATAGTATTAAGTAAGCCAGGCCTATGCACAGGTAATTGCATTACCTGTATAGGATTTTACGGATGTAAATTTGTAATTTTAAATTGGTTCAATAAATAAATAAATAAATAAATATCTTAAAATTAAGCAAATCTTGAACGAATACATTTCTATAGAACAGTGTGTTAAATTGAATGGTCCTACAAGAGTGCTGATTGTGAGCCCTATGGTGATGATGGCGGTAGCAGCCCTTGGTACGTCCTATGGTGGTTCTTACGTCCGGTTCGTTTAACAGCCACGAGCCACCATGTTGTTTTAGCGCAGATCCGACCGCACATACTAATTGCGAGGTATGGCCGCAGTCAGCGAGTTCTTACGCGTCTGGCTATCAGCTAAACCATCTGTCACGTGGATGGTCCTCCCGGGTAGGTTCGACGAGTCGAAGAACCAGCCCCCTCCAGGAGCAACAGGAGTTCGACTATGGTCCCTCGTCCATAACTCTGGACGCTTCGACCGTATCTCCGTGATCCTTCTTCATTCTCATTCGCATTCTCATTCTCTTTCTTCGGATCGGCATGGAATCGCAACCGGGGAATGCCGGCTATCCCCGAAACAGCGACAACGAAAAACCAATGATATATCATTGGAGTTTCTAGACGCTGCCGGTTGGATGCGGAGACGCGTCCGACGTCGTTTGGTGCAATAGCGTAGACGAGGCCACCTTCCGACAGTCCTGATCCCGCGAAACGGGAAAGGACGGGGTGAAAATTTGCCCGTGACAATTTTCCAAGGATATTTTACGAGATTTCAAACAAAGAAGATATGATGAAAAAATTTGAAAATTCAAATTTGACAATTTTGTTTTTTAAATTCACGCGATGAAAATTTTATGAAAAAAAAAAACAAAAAAATTCCTAAAAACCATAATTTCATGCTTGGTGTCCAGCCGTACCCGTGGATGGTTATCCGTATGGTGACTCGTTATTCCAAAGACTATGGGATTCTCATGGTGGGAATGCCGGTAAAGATATTCTCTCTCTCTCTCTCTCACGTTTCCCCTCTCTTCGTTAACCAAGAGAGACAATACGCCAATGTCGCAGGACTACTTTTTCCAGCGCAGATGTCCCTTACATACTGTCGTACACGCCAGGCCGAATGTTTAATGAGAGTATTCATGTCTAATCATGGATGGTTTTTCGGACAAAGTGCCATGCACCCATGAGCCCATCAACCCGTCAACCCATCGGACGGCCCATCCACAGCCGGACCCGAGTGCCCATAGCCAGGCTCCTCGGTCCTCGTAAAAATACTAAAAACCAGTCAGAGCGCGATTTCGTGCTGAGCGGGCACTTTTGCCTTTAACTCTCTCTCTCTCTCTCTCTCTCTCTCTCTCTCTCTCTCTCTCTCTCTCTGCTCTCTGTCTCTCTGTCTCTCTGTCTCTCTGTCTCTCTCTCTCTCTCTCTCTCTCTCTCTCTCTCTCTCTCTCTCTCTCTCTCTGCTTCTCTTTTCCATCTCTTTCCAATGCCCGTGTCTTTCGGGCAAACTTTGCTCGTAGCGAAATTTTATTCCTTGCATCCTGGAATGCGATGTGTGACTTGGCAACTGAGGACGTTCCAATTCTCTCTCTCTCTCTCTCCCACCTATTTCTCCACTTTCCAACATAAGACGTTTACGCTTCTTCCATTTCTTACCTTCCCCACCCATCGACCACCCCCTCTGTCCTTCCATTATCATTTTCCATAGCGATAAAAGCGCCATGTTTTCCACCACAGTAAATAAATAAAACGTGTTTCGTAAATTCGCAACTCCATTCCCAAAACGACGGAACGAACGTTTGCACGGGTGGAAGTTAAGGGTTGAAAGTCGTGATGCGAATTTTTCCACCCGGTATAAGACTGCAGACCCAGTCTCGTAACGTCTAAAATTTGTCGTGTAAATAGACGTGAAGTTGGCAACGAGTGTTTTCAGTGAATCATGACGTCACGACTCGAGTGTCAGTTTTAAACGTCAACCCTGAAGATCCATGCTAACTGGATGGTTAATTCCAAATTAATTTTTCCCTCGCCTAATTCCTCCCCCCCCCCCCCCCCCCC